AAAAAAAAAAAAAAAAGAAAGAAAGAAAGAAAGAAAAGAAAAGAAAAGAAAGAAAGAAAAAAGAAAAGCAAGTTTCTTTTTTTCTTTCAGCATCATTAAATGATTATAAGAAAAATATAGGTAGCCAGGTTCAGTGGCTATAATCCCAGCAATTTAGGAGGCGAGGCAGGAGGATCATAAATTCAAGGCCAGCCTCAGCAACTTAGCTTCTAAGACCTTCAGTAACTTAGTAAGCAACTAAGACCTTCAGTAACTTAGTAAGAACCTGTCTCAAACTAAAAAATAAAAAAGACTGGGGATGTTGCTCAATGAAAAAGTACCCCTGGCTCCTGGTTCAATCCCCAATACCTCCAATAAAAAAAAAAAAATATATATATATATATATATATACATACATATATATATTTATTTATAAAATACACACACACATATTAAAGAGAATCAAACATCTGATCCATTGATAATGAAAATTGTAAGTTGCCTCAGTTTAAATTGGAGATAAGTAGTTTATATAGTTATATTAAACTATCAAATTAAAATAGTTCACTTTCATTGTACTAAGATAAAAATAATTTGTTTTATTTAAAGTTGCATATGGGAGTTAGGGTTGTGGCTCAGTGGTAGTGTGCTTGCCTAGCATTCATGAGGCAATACATCCTGAGATAGCTTTAGAGGACACATCCTCACAGACTTAAAATGTGAAATTATTTTGTTTTTATTACTTGTGTGATTGAGTTTTTAAGAAATGTGATTAATGGGCATTTATATTTCATTACTATCATTTTTAGGGGTCATTTTAAAATTTTTCTTTGGAAGATTTTTTTATAGTCACCTAGATCAGGCTTTATGTAGTAGAGGGAAAATTTGGAAACAAATGTCCCCTAATAGGCAAGTGGTTATATATACTAAGGAAAATCTTAATTTATCTAACTAAGGCATATCTCTATTTAGTCACTTGTCCAAAATACCTTAACAAATTAAGGTATTTATTCATACAATAATGTATATCTTAACATAATACAACTAATATCACATTATAAAATAATGTAGTCAGGCAAAGAGGTATGCATCTGTAATCCCAGCTACTAAGGAGGCTAAGGCAGGAGAATTGCTTGAGCCCAGGAGTTCAATTCCAGCCTGGGCAACATAGCAAGATCCCATAAAAAAAGAAAAACATATAAATTGATATGAGAAGTAGTCAAAACAAATTCCTCAATGGGAAAAAAATCAGATAGCAAAAAAAGAACAAATGTATACTAGAGGGGCTGGGGATATAGCTCAATGGTAAAAGCCTTGCCTACCCTGCACAAGGCCCTAGGTTTAATCACCAGCACCACCAAAGGAAAAACAAATCACATTTTACTTTAAAGAGTCATATACAAGCATATAACAATACAATGGTTATAATGAACAGTGGGATGAAAATGATGTAGAGTTGATCCTTCTTTTTTTCTTAATTTTCTAATTTTTCCACATGTTATTTTTTCTTTTAAAGGAACTTCACAATTTTTTTGAGAGAGAGAGATTTTTTTAATGTTTATTATTTATTTTTTAGTTCTCAGTGGACACAACATCTTTATTTTATTTTTATGTGGTGCCGAGGATCGAACCCAGCGCCCTGCGCATGCCTGGCAAGCGCGCTACTGCTTGAGCCACATCCCCAGCCCTCCACATATTTTTTTTTAAAAAAGAAATATTCTTTTAAAAGCCTTAATTCTGGATTGGGTGTATGGCTCAGTGGTAGTGTTTGCCTAACATAAATGAGGCCCTAGGTTCAATTCCCAGCATGGTACAAACAAATAACTAAAATCAAAATAATACATAAAAAATTATTATCATTAGTAGTATTAGTAGTAGTGAATAATTAAACTTAAAAGCTTTAATTCAAATCAGCACCTATAATTTCCTTAGTCATCCTGGTTGTATGGCATTGATTAGAACTAGGTCCTAAATTACTTTTTCATGTCTCTACTTCTTTTGATTCAAATCAACTTAAAATCATTTTATTCTTCTAGACAAATAACTAAACTTTAATTTTATGAGGCTCTACTTTCTTTATACACGATTATATTATTTACAACTTTGAGTTTACCCAATCCAATAAAAATACATGTAACATTTAATTGAATTCACTTACCACCATGCAGTGGTCAGTAAGGAGAATAAATGATGCCAGGGGATTAAATGTGAGATGAATATTCTCTTGAACAGAAAATATGTGGTGAACACTCGTACTTCTTCCAGCAGAATCCTAGTTATAAGCACAGCAGAGAAGTGACTTCATACATATTTAGATATATATATATAGTGTTCTAAATTGTGCACATAACTGACAAGATAATTTGCAATAACTTTTATCAGTTATCTTATTGAATAGCTACCTTTTTTATCACTTACTTTTGATTCTCCCTATAAGTCCTTTTGACAGAATTGTATTTATTTATTTATTTATTTATTTATTTTTAGAGAGAGAGAGAGAGAATTTTTTAATATTTATTTCTTAATTTTCGGCGGACACATCTTTGTTTGTATGTGGTGCTGAGGATCGAACCTGGGCCACACACATGCCAAGCAAGCGCACACTTGAGCCACATCCCCGGCCCCTTGACAGAATTTTAGATCTTATAATTATAGATTTGAAAATACCAGCATATTCTCATAATGTACTTTTATTTTTATTTTTATTTTATTTTTTTATTTTTTTTAAAGAGAGAAAGAGAGAGAGAATTTTTTTAATATTTATTTTTCAGTTTTCAGAGGACATAACATCTTTGTTTGTATGTGGTGCTGAGGATCGAACCCAGGCCGCACGCATGCCAGGCGAGCAAGCTACCGCTTGAGCCACATCCCCAGCCCTGTACTTTTATTTTTAAAGAAATCTTTCTCCTTCTGTTCACTGAAAAGGCCCAGTAGTAATAATAAACCTATAAAAGCAATGAGCTAGCAGAACTAGTATAGACTCTTTAAAAAGCATTTTTCACTACAAGGAAGCAGTGTTTCTTAGAAAAATGGCTGATTTCAGGTTTTGAGTAAGAAATGCAGAAGAACTTAGAATATCTTGTTATACCAGAAACTAAAAAAAACTAATTAAGAATACTAGGATTGTGTCAAAGAACTTAGAGGTCAACATGAAGAGGCTCCCACTAGCCAAAGATGGACCAATTTGAGTATCAAAAGAATAAATGCAATGGATTGAAACATCAAATAAACAAACATATATAAATAAATATCTAAATATGTATACATTTTAGGCTTAGAATTCATAATGATACAAAAAGTAAATGATTCATTAGTGACCTTTGGCAGATGCTAAAGAATTAACACATTTTTCTGAAAAATGGTTTAGAAAAGTAGGGTATGGGAAAGAATCAAGAATTTATCCTGCATTTTTCTTATGAACTCCATACCTAGGAACTAAATAGATGAGGGAATTTTTTTTCTTTGTAAGACTATTCTCATTAATACTTCTATCATACAGAGAAAGATTTGAATATCACCATTTTATAGCTAAAGAAAAAAATGAAACTTAGCAAAAGTCATTGTGGCTGCTAAAACCCCTTAGATGAAAAATTGATGGAGATACATACATATATATATATATATATATTAGCAGTGTGTTAGAGGTGGCTTCACTAGCTTACAAGGGCCAACTGTTAAATTTTTAGGAAATTTTATGGGCTACTTAGCATTATGTTGGTACCTAAAACCAATCATGGTAGGAATATTTATACTATGAAAATTGGCACCCATATAACCTATCTCAAGTTGGTTGTTAAATATTTGCCAGTGCACTGTTAGATAAGGGTACAAACACTAGCATGTACTGATCAATGTCAGTGTTACAAAAAGAGACAACCAAGTATTATAGGCATCCTGATAAAAGCACAAAACATCTATTGAAGTATTCTTGTCAAAAAACAAGACTCATATCTTATCACACTTCTAAATCTACCTACTAGTTATAGAAACTGTTGGGGTAGGCAAAAGAATATGTTAAATGATACCAAAAGGATACAAATAGCAAAAATTCTGAAGAAACTTTATAGGACCAAAGATCCAGATTCCAAAGCAAACACATTGTAAAGGGGAAAAAGGGGGGGACATAGGGAGAAACCTACAGAGTAAAAGAGATGGCAGAAACAACTCAGTTTTCAGTGTATGACCCTTGTCTAGATTCTCAGTTGAACCAAATGAATGCATGTACGTGTAACAAACTGTGGAAAACAGAACACTATTAACTTTTTCAGGGGTGATATAGTATCATGGTTGTGTTTTTAAACAGTCTTTATCTTTTAGTAATTTATACTGGACATATTTATACATGAAATACCATGGTGCAGGGAGGGTAGAAGTAGATAAGAGTATAGGCGAACAAGATCAATAATGAGCTGATAATTGTTGAGATGTGCTGATAGAGTCACAGGGTTCATTAGAGTATTATTTTTTTTTAATTTGTTCTTTTTAGATATACATTATAGTAGAGAATACTTTGACATATTATGCATACATGAAGCATAACTTATTCTAATTAGGATCCCATTCTTGTGGTTGAACATGATGTGGAATTACACTGGTCGTGTATTCATATACAAATGTAATAAAGTTATATCTGATTAATTCTACTCTTTCTTATTCTCCTCCCCCTCCCTTCCCTTCTTCCCCTTTGCTTAATCCAACAGATTTCTATCTGTCCCTCCTCACCTTCCCTTTGATTATAGAGGTCTTTCATCTCTTTTGTTAGGCTGATTCCCAAGTATTTTATTTTTTGAGGCTATTGTGAATGGGATAGTTTTCCTAATTTCTCTTTCAGTGGATTCATCATTGGTGTATAGGAATACAATTGATTTATGGGTGTTAATTTTATACTCCACTACTTTGCTGAATTCATTTATGAGTCATTAGAGTATTATTATATCTTTTATATATTTTAAAAACATTTTTTCATTTTAAAAACTTTAAAAAAACAAAAAAGAACTTGTATTGGTGTTTATCAAATTTGTATTGCTCAAAATGAATATACCTTATGATAAATTCTTGTTTTAAAGCTGGGATTTTCTTTCATTTTGAGATTCAGAGACTTCTATAATGAAATCTTTAAATTGGCAAAGTAGGCACAACAATCTAAACTACTGGTTCTCAAACATGTGCACATCAGAATTACCTATAGAAAATTTGTTAAAGTAGATTTCTGATTGTTTCATGTTGTTTTTTCCATTGTTTCATGCTGTTTTTCTTTTCTCTTTAAATAGCATTAACATGTTGCCTAGGGTGGTCTCAAACTCCTGGTCTCAAGTGATCCTCCTGCCTCAGCCTCCCAAGTACCTGGGACTATAGATGCACTCCACTATGCCCAGCTTCCAGAGTTTCTGATTCAGTAGGTTTTGGATAGGACCTGACAATCTGCATTTCTAACATGTTTCCAGGTGATATTGATACTACTAATCTATGATTCACATTGAGAATTGATCTAAAGATCTAATTGCTACTAGGTTACAAGGAACCTATACATATTCAAAAAACATAGTGATATAGGTAAAATATTGGATAATGAGTTGATGTTTTTGCTCAGTTTCAAATCAGATTTATCAATAGTGCACTATATTTATCAACAGTATATGAATTTTTTCATTAATAAATGGAAAGGAAGAAACCAAGTTTCCTACTTAATATTTAGTAGGTGATGATGATGATCTGCCTCAGCCTCTTGAGCAGCTATAATTAAAGATGTAGACCACCGTGCATGGCTTAATTAGATTTGTCTCGAGCCAGACATGGACTCTGTGTGTGTGAGCTATGAATATTTGAGGGGAACTGGACTGATGTTGCAGCTCTGACTAGGCCATGCAACTATATGTCCTTTTTGCTCACTCTGCCTTTGATCCCACAAAGCACCTAAGATGGGTGTGGTTTTCCAAGATGTCAGTCAATCTGCTGACTGCAAGACATTATCAAGCAACCCCCTGAAACCCAATCTCTTGCCGTATTTGGGTTGAACTTTCTCGAATGTCTTCCCCTCAATAAACAGGATGGTCTCAGGTATACTCTCTCTTTTGTCTGCCACTCTTGCTTTCTTTGTGGGAGCTGGGGCAGAGGAGCCATCACTGAACCCCAAGAAAAAGGTACTTTCTGTGTCTGTGTGATTATTCAGTGCCAACCCAATTTAACTGGAGTGACCCTGACTAATTTAGTCATGTGTCACGGCAAGATTAATTTTTTAAGGTTATACTTTAAGAAAACACATTAATGGTTGCCTGGGAGATGAGGAGAGAAGGAAGGCAGATAACAAAAGGGCACAAGAAAACTTTCAGGGAAATGTATCATATTGATTATAGTGATGGTTACAGGGATGTATATGTATTTCAAAACTCATGGAATTGTACACTTTAAACATGACATAATTTTCCTATGTACATATATAAATACACTATAGTGAGTCTCATCATCTCGTAAATCCACAAAAATGGAATCCTAGTTAAAATAAGATATATTCCATGCTTGTATAATTATATAAAAATGGATTCTATTGTTATGTATAACCATGAAGTACAATAAAATTTAAAAAGTAGAATTTATTTTACATAAATTATACCTCAATAATGTTGTAAGAAATGTTAAAAATGTGCCAAGTACATGATTTCACTTTTTTTTGTGGCACTGGTGATTTAACATTATTAAAAGGATTCAACTAGACAAACAGGTATTTCAAGAAAACATGAATAATTGTTTTCCTTTATAAAACTACAGAAGCTGAACATCTTATTAAAAAATAATAATAAGAGAATCTGAAGCAATCCAAGGATTTGGGAACTTTCCATTCCTATAGTGGGCAGTTTTCCTATAGTAATTCCTAGTTCTTCCCCATGACTTAAAGATAGGGAATAATTTATTCTAGTTCATGTGTACCTTCAAGCCTCTTTAATCCAACTTCTAATATAAAATATAATAAGAGTTTATTCCCATCCATCCCTCCTACTTCTTGCCTATTGGTTCTTCCTCCTATATAGAACACTTCAAAGATGGGTGGCAAAGCAAAGTGCCTTCCATTATGCAGTCATACAAGTTTTCCCACCTATTAGCGAAGAATAAAACTGCCCATTACATAGAATTATTATGAGGATGAAATAAAAAATCCTAAGTGTCTGGTATCTCCTTAGAAGGAGCTCAACAAACAGTTCCTTATGTATGGACCTATTTCTGTGGGGGAAGTAAAAAAGGATAAAAAAGTAATTACATGTGTTTTTGAAGTATTAATTGGTGTTTCAAACTGAGACTTAACATTTGAGGACTAAATAGTTAAAAACTGTCAACAAATCATAAAACTGTAGAAATTAAGAATATGAATATTAAAAGAGCACAGCTTATCCCCTGAAGAGTTTGATGAAGCTATTCTATTTTGGTAATGATTATCACTTTCTATTCTGGTAGATGCTAATGAATTAAGTGTCCCAAATTGAACCAGAATAAGGACAGGCATAATGTTACTGCTTATGCTGACAATGCACATTCCCCAAACAAAAAAGTTACTTTGCAGCATTGAAAATTCTGTGTTCTGGCAAGAGAAATATGGTTTTTGACCTATTCTGTTATCTTGAAATATATCAGGGAATTTCCCCCCATTATTTAAAAGCAAAACAAAACAAAAACCCTGGGGCCAAAGTTGGAAGAAAATAAGAGAATGATTCCCCAGAGTTAAAAAAGCGGGGACTGCAGCCAATAAATACATATTCCTCTCATCCTGTAATTCTATCTAATAGAATTACTTCTGAGTGCCTATTTTCAAATATACTAAACAAAGTATATTTTTATAAAGAGAGAGAGAGAGAATTTTTTAATATTTATTTTTTAGTTTTTAGTGGACACAACATCTTTATTTTATTTTTATGTGGTGCTGAGGATCAAACCCAGCACCCTGCGCATGCCAGGCGAGCGCATTACTGCTTCAGCCACATCCCCAGTCCCAACAAAGTATATATATGTATATTTTTTTATTTTTCAGTTTTCGGTGGACACAACATCTTTATTTTATTTTTATGTGGTGCTGAGGATCCAACCCAGTACCCCGTGTATGCCAGGCGAGCGCGTTACCGCTGAGCCACATCCCCAGCCCCCAACAAAGTATATTTTTAAAAAATGTTTGTTTTTTTTTTTAAACTGTTTGTCAAACTGAGCTTTTGTACTAATTGACTAAAAACAAATCCACAATCAAGAGTTCACTCTGGCAAGAGCCTAATCATTTACATAGCAAATTGAAAATCACTAACTTACCTGGACAATTGCTTCTATGTTATGTGTCCCATTACTGTAGTTTCTGGGGTTCCACTTCAGTATAAAAATAGGACCAGACAAATGAATAGCCTGTCCTAAATTAACTCCATCAATCTTAATGGTGACAGAAGTAATAGAGGATAAGGAAAAGGCCAAGACTCTAAAATGAGAGCACATATAAAAGGCATGTTTTCAGGTAGTTGTCATTATTTTTATAAAGGAGAATAACACTATTGCAATCAGACATTATATAAGTATAGGCAGAAGCATCACGCTGCACAACTGTAGGGGCCACTCATGATCTTGGTTTCTTTCTTGGAGATTTTTGAAGTTGTACAATTCAGCAAACCTACATTGGTGAGAAATTAAGAACTATTCTTTTACTTCTTAGAAAGGAAAATCTTTGACAAATCTAGCTAGGATAGATTCAAAATTCTTTCTGAATAAACTCCTAAAGTTCTGATTTTTTTTCTCTTAGGAAGAAAATATAGAGTAGGGATCTCAATTTGTCAATCTAATGTCAAGCCTTCATCTACTCATTTGGTTCCCAATGTATTTACCTGGAAGAAGCAAGGTCACAGTCAGGGCTGGCAACCACACTCTTTCAGCTACTATCAAAAACTGTGACTGACAGGTATGATGATTACACACCTGTAATCTATCTACTCAGCACCACATAAAAACCAATAAAGGTATTGTGTCCAACTACAACTAAAAAATAAATATTAAAAAAAAGAAAATGAAAAAAGTTCTAGAGATAGTGATCATGATTGCACAACAATGTGAACATACATAATGCCATTGAATTGTACACTTGAGAATGTGAAATGACATATATTTTACCATTTAAGTAAAAAGTAATCAAGCAATCTTTAGCAACAACTGTAAAAGAATTCAAAATTTTCACCTAGAATTTCACTTCTGGAACTCTATTATAAAGAAATTATTCAAGTGAAGGAAGAATCTGTGTGTACCAGGTGTTTATCCTCAAATAAAAAAAAAATCTAAAAGTTCACCAATAAGATGGGGAAACTGTTACATAAATTATGGTACATTCTCAGTGTTGAAAGACAAAAAGTAGGAAGTAGATTAAACCATGCCCTGATGATTAATTAATTATGTAAAAACATGCCTAAGAGGGGCTGAAGCTGTAGCTCAGTGATGAACTGCTTGCCTTGCATGTGTGAGGCACTGGGTTTAATCTTCAGCACTTCATAAAAATACATAAAGATACTGTGTGTAAATCTACAACTAAATAAATATTTTAAAAAAATGCCTAAGAGAATGCCTGTGAAGATACATAGGAACACTCAGAAACACTAATGGTTCTATTAGGGGTGGGCAACACACACACACACACACACACACACACACACACTTATAATATCATTACTATATTTTCTAAAGATTATTATTTTGGATTACTTTTCAAAATAAATACTTAAAAGTATATTTTTAAAAATGTCCTTCCTTATGTTTGAAAAAAGTTACACATATTTTTGCAAAAAGAATGATAATGATATCTCATTTGCATCCTATAATCTACATCATCAACTTTATATGCAAACTAAATTTGCAATTCCATAAGGATTATACATCTTTTGCTTTTTTTGAAAACTATGTAGCAAAATGAAAAACACTATTTCTCATACAAAATGTAAAGTTTTAAAAGTAGAATATATGGGTCTGGGGGTATAGCTCAGTGGCAGGGCACTTGCCTAGCATAAGGCCCTGGGTTTGATTCCCAGTAGTGCAAATAAATAAAGAAAGAAAGGTAGGATACAAGGTAATACATATATTATAATCATAGCAATAGAAATCTATGCAACAAAAAGGCTGCAATAAAATGTTCAAAAATGGTTATTGGATTATGGGTTTCTGATTGGTTTTAAGATTTTTATCAGCTTAATATTGTATATTTTTTAATAGAAGGGGAATCAAATAATAAGCAACTTATCATTATAATGTTTAGGTTGTTAAGAAAACTAAAGTTGGATATCTCTCATAGCTTTCATATGAGAATACAATCACAATGACTTATTCTCTGTCAATATAAAATTAAAAGTAATTTCTGAAAAATTGCAATGTACCTGATGTGTGTTGAGTGAAGGATTCTTTCTAGAGGTTCATGTTTAGCACAACTATAGAGGAGTGATTTAGGATTGGTAATAAGAATCACAGGCCAGTTTCCAAAGATCAAATCTTCAAAGCTAAAAAGGTCATGATCAAAAGCAAAGATTCGATACCTGGAGAACAGAAGAGAGGCGATTTAGTTACTTTATAAGAGGGCTTAAAGGTAATAGACAGACAAATGTCAAAATACAAAAGCATAGTGTTTTTACATGATGAATTTGAGTACAAAGTAAATAACACTGTTTCTCTTTCTTCCCTTGCCTTTATCACTTTTCTTCGTATTTGTCACATCAAGTAGACTCTGATTGAAGCAATGAATTTATGCCCTAAAGTAATTCTTGGCACATAGCATGTACTCTTTAATTTTTAAAAACTTGCTGAATTAATTCACTTTATTTTACATTATTTTAAGACTATTTTGAAGCTAAGACATTCATCATAAATCTAAAATCTGATATTCTTCATTCCATCAACAATGCTACATAAAATATTAATGTGTTGGATATAAATATAATAAGAAAAGTTGCATACGCCTTTAAACTTTTATTCCTATAATTCCAAAGAAATTAAAGTGAAGACATTTTGATTTTCCAAATGTACAATGAAATGTATAAAATATTCATTAAAAAGTAACCCAAATTTTATATTCTCCTTCCCCTTACCCTACCCTCTCGCTTTCTCTCTGCTGGGAATCAAACCCAGGGCCTCACACATGCTAGAAATGTGCTCTATCACTGAGTTATATCCATAGCCCCTATATTTTCTTTTAGAACTTAAAAAAGAAATGATTAATTATGATATAAACAATAATGCTTACCAAATACTCTATGGGCCTCCTAGCATTTCCTAGTCTCTGTGTACTAGATTAGGATCATGTGACTAATCCTGGCCAATAGGCTATGAGTAGAAGTGTCATGTAGCACACTCTGATCAAAGTTTGCTGTTTTTTTTTTTAACACCTCTTTTCAGTTATAGATGGATATAATATCTTTTTAATTAATTTATTTATTTTTATGTGGTACTGAGAATTGAACACAGTACCACACATGTGCTAGGCAAGCATTCTATCATTGAACCACAACACCAGACCCCATACAAAGTTTCTTTTTTTTGTTTGTTTGTTTTTTCAGTTGTAGTTGGACACAATACCTTTATTTCACTTATTTATTTTTATGTGATGCTGAGGATCAAATCCAGGGTCCCGCATGTGAGAGACAAGTGCTCTACCACTAAGCCACAAACCCAGCCCCTCTGGCCCCCCATCCAAAGTTTTTAAGAGCATATGTGAGTTCTCTGTTCCCTTCTCCACTCTGGAATTAACAAGTTAAAATAGTGGTATTATGCTAGGAGAGGTGGCGAATGCCCAGCAGCTCAGGAGCTTGAGGCAGGAGGATCATGAGTTGAAAGTCAGCCTCAACAAAAGTGAAGCACTAAGCAACTCAGTGAGACCCTGTCTCTAAAGTAAAATAAAAAATAAGGCTGGGGATGTGGCTCAGTGGTCAAATGCCCCTGAGTTCAATCCCAGGTAACCCCCCCACACACATATACACACACACAAATAGTGGTCATATGAGATGGGAGAAGTCAGAATTCCCAAGTCACTCCATGGAGGATAGTTGCCCTGACTCAGACTGGGTTTAGAGGAATGAAAAGTAAACATTCTTGTGTTAGGCCATTGATATTTTTAAATTTGTTTTATATCCACAACAAAGCCTAACCTATACTACTAATATACTGTCAAAAAAATCTTCTATTGTAGTCAATACAATTTAAATGTTATAAGAACAGTAAAGGTTAGGTTGTTTCAGGGTTGAAACAATGAAGACCAGATGGGAAGAAAAACAAAAGAAGTGGCTTCAAAGTTAAAACTATAACTTGTAACTGTAGCATTTAGAAGAAATAAAGAAGCTGGCCAAGAGTCAAGAAGCCTATGTAACAAAAGGCAATGCCAGCTGGGCCTTCAGTTTCAGTCATGAGCACACAGGTCTTAGCCCAAAGTAATTACAGTTGTCAAGTAATAACAGGCTTAGCTCATAGTTTCTAGAAAAACCAAATAAAATGAGGAAGCCGCTTCTAAAATGTAAAGCTTATTTTTGATTAATGAAAGTATAGTTAGAAATAGGTAACATATTCAGTTCAACAAATATTTGAATAAATGATGTTCTATATTTAAAGATATTTCACTTACATATCAAAAATAAATATTTAAATAAAATATATACTTCCAGTAAATAAGTTGTTTTCTATAATAGATATATTAACTTTAAAAAAACTAAAAATAACTATTTGAAGAATTGAAATTACTAATGTTTTATAGAAAAAAACGAGTGGAAGATATAAAATTCAAGAGGAAAAATGACGTGTCTAGTTCTATTGCTTCTCAAAGTATGATCTGTAGACAAGGACAGACCAACACAATTAAAATCTCTAGTGTTAGGGCCTGAAAATTTTTATTTTTAATAAACTCTATAATTTTTTGTGTACACTGAAGTTTAAAACTACTTCCTAATGGATTCATCTTGAATCAATATGGCATAGTGATGGTAAACATCTCTGCTACAACAAGGTTTTTGCATAATGACAAAGACTGCAAATTATATTACTTAAAAAAAAAGTATCACAATTTTTTTCTTAAGTGGTATTGCCTATCATATTATATGGATAAGTTTTGTTTTGTGAGGTAATTCCCTTACCTTCTATTATCTTTCCAGTCTCCTACCTCAAGTTCCAAAGTGCCCTGGAAGTGACGAGTATGCAGAATAGGCATGAGTCCACCAAGTGTATGGAGGTGCCCACACAAATAAGCTGTAGCCGAACTAACCAATGAAAAATAAACAGAATAAGTGAACAAAGGTAACTTGGGATACCAAATTAATAAAGAATGTTTCTTCAGGAAAACAAGATAGGTACAGCAACAATTAGTTTAGATTTTGGAAGCTTGTTTCACCTCATGATTGACCGGATTCCTGGTGATGGAGAAAGGATAGTGGATGTTGTAAAGTGTCCAAACCAAATTGTATGGTTGCTCTCTTTACTTTCCTTGGCCAATAATAAGAGTTCCTTCATCTGTTTCTGAAATGGAAGAAAAATAGAAGGATCTTCAATTAGAACTCAGACAATTAGGACTGAAATCCAGTGTCATCAGGTTAAACAAGTCCTTAAGTTTTATAATTATAATTGCACTATGTCTAGATCCTAAATTCTACCAGGTAGGACCTGAATGGACCTCTGTAAGTTTTAAACTGTTTTCATGTATATTATAATTCATTTGATCCTAAAATAACTCTGCTATTGGTAGGGCAGGTATTATCCCCTTTTGATAAACAAAAACAAACAAACAAAAAATAACAAGAAATAAAGAAATCACCACTATCTTCTAATTCTGCTAATTGACCTAGTTATTTCTGGTACTGATAATGAAGACATGGTAATAAATTAAAAACATATTGAAACTAAACTTTTAAAATATATACATATGTCCACAGAAATGCTTGAAACTAAATGTGCATAACAGCTCTACTCATATTGGCCCCAAACTAGAAATCATCTACAAATTGTAATATATCCATAAAATGGAATATTATTCAGCAATAAAAAGAACTACTTATATATCCAAGAATACAGATGAAACCCAGCAATATCATACTAAGCATAAGAAACCATATTGAAGAGTACAGTCTGTATGATTTCATTTAGATAAATTTTTAGAGCAAATAAGACTAGTCTATAATGATAGAAAACCAGTTTAGTTCCACAGGGGCTGAAGACAGACAAGGAAACATTCTAGGATGATGGAAATGTTCTATGTCTTCATTATGGTCACAGTTATGCCAGTATACACATTTGTCAAAACTCTTCAGACACTTAAAATGAGTACATTTTATTGTATGTAAATCATATCTCAGAAAACTGATTTTTAAAATTTGCACATACATAAGTATATATTGTTATCTATAAAGTACTTAGAACAATACATTTTGGAGCGTTCTACTCAGGGTTTCTAATTTGGTAAGTCTGAGGTAAAAACCAGGGACTCTGTACTTAGCAATACTGCAGTTGATTTTTGTGCACCTGGTCCTTGAATTGTATCTTTAAAAACACTATCCTAGGACTGTAGCTCAGTGGCAGAGCTTGCCTAGCACATGTGAGGCCCTGGGTTTGATCCTCAGAACCACATAAAAATAAATAAAATAAAGGCATGTTGTCCATCTACAACTACAAAAAATAATTTATTTTAAAAAACCCATTATCCTAAGGAATATGACTTAATATAAGTTAATTAACTCTGAATAAAGATACTTGGTAGCTAGGAAACACAATAAAACTTAATTAAATAAAATGTCTAAAATAATAAATTGTATTAGGCATTATTCTGTTCCCTTGATTCAAACTCCTTTGAACCCTCATATAACAAATCTCTTTCAGTACTTAGTAAATTCTGCTAATTGATCTAGTTACTTCTATATTGGTCTTATAACCCACCACTAAATTAAATACTCTAAGAAGCCAGGGACTTGATCTTGTCACCTTTATACTTTTACACATGGGCGTATGTATCTTGCATAGGGACATGTGCTCATTAAATAATAAACTGGCATTTGTTGTATCAAGAAATAGTGAAAAGTTCTCATATATGACTTTACAGATGGTTGTAATCCAGCGATAGTTTTCACCTAGCCTATTTGAAACACTTTAAAAAGAAACTTATATAATTCAATAGTTGTCCTTCTCTTTTATTGGCCATTGTGAGGATTTAGCACTATGCCATATAGCACACAAAGATGTATGCCCTGTGCCTTGCAAAATACATTCTGCATTTTATATACTAAATAAATGTTCACCGAATAAACTGTGAGGTGCCTCTTTCCTGGGTTTTGGGATAAGAATAGGGATAGCAATAACAGCCCTGAAGTAGCCAGTAGCTCCTAGTCAAACTTTTTGCCACAGTTAAATTTTTCTTGAACATTTCTAGGTAAGAACTTGCTTAGTTAGGACAACTTGAAAACCCACATGTATCTGTGAAAAAGTAAAAACACATAAGCTACTAAGAAAAATGAGAATTTTACCGTACCTCATCTAAAATTCCAAAGAAATTAAAAGGTCTCTTAGGCCCTGGATTTTGGGTGGCATCCACAGAGATGAAAGAGTAGTTGCCAAAGGGAGTACTGTGAACATAATGAAAAGAGCCATCCCTATGTACAGCAGAATACTTCCTAAAAAAATATAAGACAGGGAAGTTTTAGTTCAATTTTTAAAAGAAGGAATTTAAATTCTGTCCCTAATACCACTGCAGATTTTGCTTCCCTTTGAAAAGGTGTACTAATTTAACAGAGAAATAACTAAATGACAAATACAATGGATAAACTCATTAAAAGACATTTCAAAGTTTTTCTCTCATTGTTTCTAAGACTCATGCAAACTAAATCATCAATAAGCAATCACAAGGTCTCCAAGTAAAGCAGAAAAGAAGACTATTTTAAGCAGTCCCCTAAATATTTTAAAATATCAAAATTCAGTGAAATGGAACTTATCAATCATTTAAAAATTTAATGAAGGTCTACTAAGTATCTAACAAGTTTTGGTATAGGTTCACTTCTTGAACCACTGAGATTTAATTCACAAAAAAGATTTGCAAAAATGAAGTCATCAGGCCAGGAGAAAAATGATAGTCTAGGCCTAGTTGGGTACATCTTTTTTGGTTTCTAAAACTGTAGTGATATCATATGCAGGGTCTACACGCAGTAATGAAAATCATCCCTATCTTAAGTGTCAAATGTATTCAGGTATTCATAAAGTTGAAGGGTGAAAGGATGGGTAAAGTAGTACAGAGTACGTATAGAGTATTTTTTGAATAAAGGAGAAGGAGAATATAGATTCTATTGGGGGCACATCTATAGTATTCAAATGTCATCTTTATAAGAAAAGTTGATATCATCTTTTATCTAAATGTCTTATATAATGTTTTACCTAAGCGCATCAATAAAAAATTACAGGGGCTGGGATTGTGGCTCAGCGGCAGAGTACTTGCCTAACACATGTGAGGCCCTGGGTTTGATCCTTAGCACCACATAAATATAAAATATTGTGTCCAACTACAACTAAAAAATAGTAAATATTTTTTTAAAATTACAAATAAACTTCCAAAGCTTAATGTGCTAGCAGGTAGCCATATTTAAGCAAGAATAGACATCAAATAAACAAATCATGAAGTCATAAAATAAATATGTCATCATAGAAATTACAATTAATACTAAAAAAATGTCAACCCTAATTTGAACAAAATTAATTATTTCTATTGTTCTCTTTTTGGTATTTTAAAATTTTCTACTTCAGGGTCTTATTCTGCATTAAAAATTTCAATTTATATTTTTTCTTGTTTAATTTGTTTCCAGTTATTCTTTAGGATCTTTTAATCTCACATATATTACTTCCTTTCCTACATTTTTGGAGGGGCCGTACTCGGGATTAGACTCAGGAGCACTCTACCACTGAGCCACATCCCAGCCCTATTTTGTATTTTAATTAGAGACAGGGTCTCACTGAGTTGCTTAGCGCCTCACTGTTGCTGGGGCTGGCTTTGATCTAGAAATCCTCCTGCCTCAGCCTCCCCAGCTGCTGGGATTACAGGTGTGTACTACTGTGCCCTGTCCTTTCCTACATTTTTTGAAACATTAAAATTCAACTGTCTAAAAAGAATACTATTTGAAATCAGAGGTTAAAATATATAATGCTGGGAGGGGAGGGGAGGGGAGGGGGGATAGTAGAGGATAGGAAAGGCAGCAGAATACAACAGACACTCTTATGGCAATATGTAAATCAATGGAAGTGTAACTGATGTGATTCTGCAATCTGTATATGGGGTAAAAATGGGAGTTCATAACCCACTTGAATCAAAGTGTGAAATATGATATATCAAGAACTATGTAATGTTTTGAACAACCAACAATAAAAAAAAAAGAAATATATGTAAAAAAGGGAGAAAATGAGCAAAATCTAATTTCACACTGTTTGGGGTGTACCACCTTCCTGGCAATGTGGATGTCTTCATCAACTCTGAATCTCTCTGAACCCCTCTCTGCTTATGTTTCACTAATAATAAAAAAAAAAAAAAATATATATATATATATAATGCTGACATTCTTTTTATTCTAAACTTTGGTATTTTCTGGGGGCATTCTTCAGAACAAGATTTAATTTTAATATTATTTCTGATCCTCAGTTTGTTATTTTTGTAATACCTATATCTCTAGCAAAATGTTATTTATTAAATTCAGATAAAGTTTAGGTGTCTAGAACTAGATATATAAAAGTAAGAAACTTTTATGTGATTAATCACTACTTTCCCAATAATCACTCAGGCATCAAGTTCTATTAAGTCTTCACTGAAAATGTCTAATTCCATTCCCACAGTCACCATCAAAGATGCAGACAGTTTTAGGAAGCAAAATATTTTCATTTTTGTTCTTTTTCTTTTTCATATTAACAAAAGAAGACAATCTCCTGTTTTAGTTATATGGCGACTCTAATTTTATAAATTCAGTTAGTTAAACAATGATTTTTAACTTGTCATCTTTAAATTGATATTACAATCCCCATGTTCAAGAATTTTGTTCAGATGGTTATGTTCCTACACACTTAAATCCTTCGCATATCATGACTGATCTATTACAGATATATATAACTCAAACACCACCACCCCCCTTTTTTATTTCTTTTTGAGACAGGGTCTTGCTAAGTTGCTTAGGACCTTGCTAAGTTGCCGAGGCTTGCAACTCATTGAATTAACTGTATCCTGCTTATAAGAGACTCTACATAGTTGTCTCTCTTCTGTTCGTTTGGATACCTGTAATAATTCTTGACGCTCTCCAGACTTGGAATGTTGTATGCATCTAATTAAAAAGAAAAAAGCAAGTATTCATCTATACAAAAAAAGAAAAATGCAAACATGTTAATGACTAAACAAAGACAAGAATTCTTTCTACAATACTTAAAATGGCAGAATGGAACTCAATTAGACTGATAATTTTTTAAAATTGACAAATGAAGTAGGAAGATTGTAAGTTCAAGGCCAGCCTGGGAAGCTTGGCAAGACACTGCCTCAAAATAAAAATTTTGTAAAAGGCCTTAGGTGTAGCTTAGGTGGTAGAGCACTTAAGTAGCAGGGGTAAGGCCCTAGTACAAAAACAAAAAAACACAAACAACAACTTGATAGGATAAAAGATTATCTGAAAACTTTAAGGTATATAGTATTCTGGAGATTAATAGGTACTTTGAGAATAATAGGTATTTTTTTATTTATCAAAATAAATACATTTGAAGTTATAAGATTGGGCTATTGCTGTTATTTTAACTGTATGATTCTAGATGCAGTGAATTCATGCCTGATCTACATATGGGTCAGTGCCAAGTGCTTCTAAGCAGCAAATCACTTTTATATCAGGGACAAAGCCCCTTTCTTAAGACTTAAAAAAAAGAAGTTATCAAATGGTGAGGGCTAAGGTTAAGCATATCATAGAACACTCATCTGGAAGCACATATTTTTTCATAGAGCTTGATTGCCTTGTTGCAGTAACTAAAATTATCAAATTTGATTTCCAGAAATCAACGATATTTCTAATAACCTTAGAGAACAAGCTATAAGTCCAATTTAGGCCAAAATAAATATTAACATGAATTCAGTCTTCTTGTTAAATAAGAGAACAATTCTATGTTATGGCTAAATCTCAATAAAAAACTAGCTTCCTTCCCTATTTTAACATATAGAAATATATATTCATACCATAAACATTTATGTCTTATAAATCAAATTACATTACTATGAAAGCCAAATGACTAATCAAATTATTTAATCACAAGTCTTTTTGACATGAATTACTTAAAATAAATAATTCAGTAGCTTGGCTTAGAAACATTTTAAAATATACATATTTACTACTTATTGGAAAATAATTTGACTTGGATCAGGAAAAAGGGAAAATGTAAACATACCAAAGAAAGTTGTAAGCCAAGAATCCTATTTCTAATTTTTAATTCCTAGCTGTTTTGAAAAAACTATTTATAATCAGCCATTTTCTGATCAAATCAATCGCTGTGTATTTCACCAGGCAAAATTATCTGTTTAAAATGATAGTAAAAAAAAATACATGAATAATCAAAGAAAGTGGACAAATGAAGTACTTGATTCTAATAAGAAAGTCAGCCTTTATAAAACAAACCTACTATCAGGACTTTTTTGGAGAAGAGTTCATTTCCTTATTAATGTAACAATGATAATCCAAAAAAGAGAAGGGATTTTCCATTTATCTTCCATGTCTGTGGATATTTGCATTCAGTTTAATTTTTCTTGAAATTTTCATATAACAAAATTCATTCTTTGTGATGTATAGTTCTATGGGCTTGACAAATACATAATCATGTATCCAAGAACACAATCAAAACACAGAACAGTCCTATCAACCCCCAAAATTCACTCATGATGCCTCTTTGTAGTCAATATCGCTCCCCATTCCCTTCCTGTCAACAATAGCCTGCTGTCTACAATTTTGCCTTTTCCTGCATGTGGTATAAACAGAATCATACAGTATTAAGACTTATAGGCTTAGTTCTTTCACTTAACAAAATGCAGGGGGTTTTGTTGTTGTTGTTTTCTTTTTTGTTTGTTTTTTATTACTAGGGATTGAACCCAAGGGTGCTCAACCACTGAGCCATATCCTCAGCCCTTTTTATTTTGAGATAGGGTCTCACTAAGTTGCTTAGGGCCTCACTAGGTTGCTGAAGCTGGCTTTGAATTTGCAATCCTCTTGCTTCAACTTTATTCTACCAAAAAAAAAGAAAAAATACCATACTAATTTTCATCTCAAAGGCTAACAGTGACATTTGAAGTTTAAAATAACATATTATAACTGTGTTTTAGAGTTGTGGCCTTCAGTGTATCTAAACTTATGTTATAATTTCCCACTTTATAATTTTATAATATAAATGGAAGGATCTAGGTTCTTAGGAAATATATATTTAGTCTTTATTATATCTGGGTCTTGACTCTTACCATGATTTCCTTTGATGTCCAGCCACTTGGTTTTTTCCATGACTCTTGTCTTCTTCAGAATACTCTGGTAAGTTTGCCATTCTACCTCCTGCTGCCTGGATCCCAACTGTTCCTTTGTTTTGGCATCTGTCAGGTCTCCTGTAGGTTTACACAAGAATTGAATCACAATGTAAAATAAACTCAAGAGAGTTCAATTTTTTAAAAAATGCACACAGAAGGAACAAAGATACTTAAAAGTACATAACATGAATAAGCTTAATAGGTGAGTCCACCTATGACCAAGCCATGCTATCTAAACTAGAAGATTGTCTCAGCAAGAGCTTTGCTTATTAGAAATTAATGAGTACCTATTTAACCTCCTGTGATGTGGAAAACAATGTATCTTTAAAGAGAGCAGTACAAAATGCATCAAAAGACTGACAAAATGAAAAACCTCTGTAAGAAATTCCAACAGTTTGGGAGGGGCCTAACATCTATTGCAACCATTTCCCACAACCCAAATCAGGGTATGTAATCTGACCAACTGTTATTTTTATAGCAAGAAGCAATCTGGAAAGTGTAGTCTGGACAATGACATACCAAAATTTCTAAGAAACTAAAAGAACACTTGAAATAGGGCCCATACATTAACTGAGGACTAATGAAACTAAGATGTTTCAGTAAAGTGAGGGACAGATGAACCACCCAGTAAACAGGAGAGATGTTCCTTTAGCTTCTTCTCCAGACCACTTTGGGAATACCTGGTCAAATATTTAAAGAGTCTAGGAAATTCAAATCAAAGAAATATCAGGGGGGTGAAGAAAAAGTTCCTGGAGTCACTTGAAGCCTCAAACGACTGAAACTATCAAATTAATTTATGTGTGAAGAAAATGGAAAAATTAGCAAGAGAACTTCTGCTTAAAGAACTTCCTCTAATTCTCTCTCAAATTCAGAACTGCAACGAAGAAAAAAACAAAAATAAAAACAAAAAAAGCCAGACACAAACATAGCAGACAACAACATACTTACATGAGCATCACAAGCCTTCCTTCACTGCCTTGACAAAACCTTAATATGTCAAAGCATTTAGCCTGGACTTTGACTCTGTTATACATCAGCAAAGTAAATCACGAAGTCCCATCTCCTCTACCTCACAGAGCTCACCTGGGGTCATGGCTTGTGGATAGTGTTCCCAACGCCCCCAAAGTGAACAAGTGTAATCCTGGCTAGCATTCTGCCATCCGGACCACGGAACACCACCATAGCACAGCAATCCTCCCTACCTGTTGCTAAGACGAGAGCTGGTTGAATGATGTCAATAGTTTCAGAACAGAACTTCTCTAAGTCTACTGCTCTGCTTGGATCGCGAAACCTGCTCACGTGAATGTCGGATATCTGCCAAAAGCAGGTATTGAACAGAGATAGACATCTGAGTCAGGAAGAGGCAGTACGGGCAGAGGCGGCCCAGTGGCTCTCTCGGGTAGAAGGAAAAGGCAGAGATACAGTGTATCAAAGATTCTCCCCACCCCCGGAAGGACTGGGCAGAGGCCAGCACTAGACAGATCCTTAGTGACAACTTGACCGAGGCCTGCAGCCAGAGATTGGTTCTAAACAGGTGCAGGTTGCGCTCCTAAAGGAACAGCAAAGGTCTTTCTGCATAGTTGCCGCTCAGCACCCACCGCCCGCCAGCCTCCCGCCGCGTCACCTGCAGGCCCCAGAAGATGTTGCTGTCTCCAGGGCCCGGCGCCGGGTGCGGCCTCTGGGGATTGAGGGGCTGGGGCAGTGAAGAGGGCGGACCAGTCAGGCCGTAGTGCTCCAAAAGCAGGGCCGCCAGAGCCGCTGCCAACAGCCCCGCGAACACCTTTAAGGCCAGCGTTATTGCCATCCCGCCAGCCAGCTGGGGCGCAGCCTTCCCTAGTCCTGGGAAGCTCTGGGCGGCGCTCCTGCGCCCACCCCCACCCTCGCCACCGCCCGGCGGCGCTCTGTCCGCACTTCCGGACTCTACGGTCGCGGGGCTAGATCCTGATGTCCGTCCTAGGGCGCAGTGCTGGTCAGGTTATCCCTGCGCCTTCCCTTCTCTTGACGCGAGTGTTTCGGGTCTCGGTTTGCAAATGTAATGCGGGGAAAGAAAAGGAAAATGATACCCTCAACGCTAGGACAGTGCCGTGTGGTGGCCGGGAAGCCGCCTGGAGCCTGAAGCTGGGAGGCGGGGACTGGAATCCTCGCTCCACATTGGTCAATCATTCGTGACCTCGGTAGCTGGTCACCTTACTTGTAAAACGGAGTTAATGAAACCTCCCGCGCCTACTTCGCTGGGTTGTTGTGAAAATCAAAGTGAGTATGTATAAGGACGCCTTTTAAATTGCTGTGTAGTGCGACAGGGGTGACCATCTCTGGTCCCTTCTGATGAACGTCATATGACCCCAGAGGCTTTCTATAGGTATAATTTGTATGTTTTGTTAAAGTTATTTTTTCCTTAACCTGATGTCATATGTGCTTGATCACATAATGTTGCAAACAATGATATGCCCCTCATCTAATATTAAATACTTCCTACGAGCCAGGCAAGTATGAAGTAAATTCTGGGCCTGGCCTTAATTTATCTAACCACTCCCTTGTACTTGAGGCATTGGATAGTTTATGTGTTGTTGGTCTGAATAAACATTTTTATACAAATAGCCCTTAAAAAAAAAAAAAAACCTCTTTGAGTTATTTCTTTGGGATGTAGTGCCAGTATTGGCTTTCTGCCATTTTCAATTCATTAAGTTCTTTTTGAGTACTTTTGAAATGCAAGACATTTATCTAAACAGAAATTATAAGAATAATAAGTAATTAAAGAGTCATGAGCTTTTTTTTTCCTTATGAACTTGTCTAGGACATAAATACACAAGTACATTTAATGTAAGAATATGTTATTTGCCAGAAGAGACAGCCAGATTTAAAAGTCTAGGGGAAGGTAAAAACTGGGAGATTGTACTTTTGGAAAGAATCAAGAAATGTTTAATTAAGGAGGTGGCATATAAAAGAGGGAAGTATTTCTGACTGATGGAGATTGGGGTTGGGATGAGAAGCACTTTCTTCCAAGACCTAACAATAACAATCAAAGTATTAAGGTGAGAAAATGCAAGACATGTTGAGGAAACAACTTCAGTTTGGCAGGACCTGCATTATGCCTGGAGGAATAGGTAATTAGAACACAGACTCTTGACTTGAGCCTTGTGGAAGGCCTTTATAAATGTCATGAGTGAAAACAACAGAGATCTTCTTTGGCAAAATAGATATGGCAACGGCATTGAGAACTAGAGAAAACTGCAATAATGCAGACAGTAGGTTATTATGAAGACCTAAGAAAGAAGATGGGAGAATGTAACACTGAGTTTAGAAAAAAATGGATCAGATGTAAAAGTTATTGTAAAGATTGAAACTACAGAACTTAACAACTGATTGTGCATTCTGGAGGAAATAAAAGAGTTCCTAGAGCCTGGCACCCTGGTAAAAACCTGTAGTTCTAGCTATTTAGGAGGTTGATGCTGAAGGATTATTTGTGTTTGGGAGTTTAATGCCAGCCTAGGCAACACAGCATGACACTGTTTAAAACAAACAAACAAACAAAAAACCCTAAACTTAAAAGTCAAAAACAAAAAATGGGACCAGGGCTTTTTAAAACCAAATTTGGAAGATATAATTGAAATGATGTGATTTAAAATGCTGGCAGTGTACATAAAATACATTTGGAAAGGCCCTAGAGGAACCTCACAGATACAGAAAATTATTTAGCAGAAATGGAATATAAGATTCTGTGTGATAGCAAATAGAAAGAAATGTGCCATTAAGGGATCCTGGACAGAAACAGTTTAAAGTCACTAAGGACAATAGTCTAAATTTCAGATACTGAACTACAACCAAGCCATTTTCCCCATAGTAATCAAAGTGCATAGGAACAGGATTTTATTTACTTAATGATGATTAATGATACTCTAGGGAAATACGGGTTTGACCAGCTAATCACTACAATTCAGTATAAAAAGTGGTTCTTAGTTCCTGACAAAGCAGAAAGGTAAATAGATCATTATTATCTCATAATAAAAAAAGAAGGCAGCAATTCACCACTAGAGTGGACTTACCTAGAACTAAAGTCAAGGGAGAATGTATAACTTGGACCTTAAACAATATAGTGTATAATATCATCAACAACCATAAGTTGAATTGACTCATTTATAAGATATAGAAATTGTCTATGAAATAGACAAATATATGAAATCACCATTTCATATATAGACCTTATTAAAAATAAAAAGATCCAGTAATAAATGATTGTTTTGTGAAGTTGTTTCCATAAAGAGCTAAAGTAATCAAAACAGGTAGTTTTTTTTTTTTTTATGTGTATGTAAGTATTTTTTTGAGTGGGGGTACCGGGGATTGAACTCATGGGTATTCAGCCACTGAGCACATCCCCAGCCTTATTTTGTATTTTATTTAGAGACTGGATCTCACTGAGTTGCTTATTGCCTCAACGTGCTGAGGCTGGCTTTGAACTCGAGATCTTCCTGTCTCAGCCTCCTGAGCCACTGGGATTACCTACATGGGTCACTGCACCCAGCTTGTATGTAAACATTTTAAAATTTACTTCAAAAATTTGGTGAATTTACCTTCTTAACCATTTTTAAGTATACCTTCAGGGCCATTAAGTACATTTGTATTATGCAACCATCACCACCATCCATCTTCACAGCTCTTTTAATCATCCTATCTGAAATTCTGTACCCATTAAACATAAACTCCCCAGTCTCCCAATCTCCCCAGACCCTGGCAACCACCTTTCCATTTTTTTTTAACCCAGCTATCTCCCACAAGGAAAATAACCTTAAAATAACTGTTTTCACTAAACAAGTACTATTGCATCTATTTTTTTAATTAATTCATTTATTTTATTTTTTATTTTTTGGGTTTTTTTTTATTGGTTGTTCAAAACATTACAAAGCTTTTGACATATCATGTTTCATACATTAGATTCAAGTTGGTTATGAACTCCCATTTTTACCCCAAATACAGATTGCAGAATCACATCTGTTACATATCCACATTTTTACATAATGCCCTATTAGTAACTGTTGTATTCTGCTCCCTTTCCTATCCTCTACTATCCCCCCTCCCCTCCCCTCCCATCTTGTCTCTCTAGCCCATCTACTGTATTTCATTTCTCTCCTTGCTTATTTACCCATTCCCCTCGCAACCTCTTATGTGTGATTTTGTATAACAATGAGCATCTCCCTCCATTTAATTCATTTATTTTAATTAAGTTTATATGACAGCAGGATGCATTTTGATTCATTGTACACAATTACAGCACAACTTTTCATTTCTCTGGTTGTACTCTATGTAGCATCGCACTACACCATTCTACTTTCTGTCTCTGTGAATTTGACTACTGAGAATCAATTTGATTTGTGGAATCATACATTTTGTCCTTTTGTATCTTGCTCATTTCATTCAATCGGACATCCTCAAAGTTCATTCAGGATGTAGCATGTGTCAAAATCTTCCTTTTTAAGGCTGAATCATGGATAAACAATGTATGTTTATCTATTCATCTGTTGATGGACACCTGGATTATTTCCACCTTTTTGCTATTGTAGGTCATTTGTTTTTGCTTTTTGTGGTGCTAAGGATCAAATGCAGGGCCTCATCAATGCTACACAAGCACCCAACCAGTAAGCTACAAACTCAGCCTATTGTAAGCCATTGGTAAGTTATGGTTCAAAGAGAATATGTCCATATAACCACTATGGACTGTAACCAGTATGGATTGAGTTAAGGCAAGTTTGGAAAATATCAGATACATTCTTTACATCCTCTTTAAATGTGTGTGACAGATGGAGAAATAATCATAAAGGTTGTCAGCTTTCACATTCCTGAGATATACATGCCATTCTACCACCCTGCAAAGACATGGATCCACAAGTCAAAACAAGAAGACTAATGCTCTTACCAAAAAAATAGAAAAAGCACCAAACTCAGCATTTTAAACTAAACTACCAGAAAAAATTTTTGGTCACTTTTTTTTAAGTGTTTAAAAGTTAAACATGTGGTAGATATACTGATATTCATTTTTATTGTTATTCTTGTTACATGAAATCATTATTTATAAAACAACATTCTTATGAACAATTTAATAAAAAACATATATAGTCTATTTTCTCTATTAAAATAGAAGAATAGGGCTGGGGATATAGCTAAGTGAAGCACTTGACTAGCATGTGTAAGTACCTGGGCTCTTATGTCCAGCACTGCAAAAATAAAAAAAGGAGGGGATATCAAAATGTACCATTCTCTTTGACTTGTTGTTACTTTTACTTATCCTAAGGAAAAATATGGATAAGTATGCTCCCATGAACCTACTTACCAATAAGTAAGTTCATGGGAACAAAATTTATTTAGGACTGGGGATATAACTTAGTGTTGAGAGCTTGCTCAGTATGTGCAAGGTCCTAGATGCTCAGTATGTACAAGGCCCCAGCACCACCAAAAAAGAAAAGAAAGTTGGAAATAAACTATAGTAAATGTTCCACAGTAGAAGTTTTTAAAATGGCATACACATAGAAGGGAATACCATGCAGTAACCTTAAAATAATTTTGAAGGAAAATATTAAAGCCATGGAAATTTTAATAACAGGCTAATACATATTTTGTAAAAGTATATAGCATAATACACAGACCTTCTAGGCCAAGGGACTAACCTATGTAAACAGAGGTGCCAGACTCTATGGTATGTTTGTGTTCGGAAAATAAATGTGGGTGAAGTTTGAGGTCAGGGATAATAAGGAGGGCTGGGGATGTGGCTCAAGTGGTAGAGCGCTCGCCTAGCATGCCTGTGGCCTGGGTTCGATCCTCAGCACCACATACAAACGAAGATGTTGTGTCCGCCGAGAACTAAGAAAAAATAAATAAATATTAAAAATTCTCTCTCTCTCTATGTCCCCCTCTATCTCTCACTCTCTCTTTAAAAAAAAAAGGGATAATAAGGAGGCTTGCACTAGCAAAAATCATTTCAGGTCAGATTGAGAAGGGCTTTGGATGCCATGTTCAGACGTTAAATTTTAATCTAGGGCAGTTGTCCGATGTATGTAGGTATAAGAGAGTCACATGACCAGATTTTTTTAAGA